GACAGAAAGGTCTTCCTTTCCGTTGGTTCACCCCTCGAATGGCTGCTACGGCCGGTGCTGCGCTGTTCCGAAGCCAGGAGCCAGGCGCTTCCTCCTGGTCTCCCATGCAGGTGCAGGGCCGAAGCACTTGGGCCATCCTCCACTGCCTTCCCGCGCCACAGCAGAGAGCTGGACTAGAAGAGGAGCAACCGTGACAGAACCGGCACCCCAACTGGGACTAGAACCTGGGGTGCCAGCGTCACAGGCAAAGGATTAGCCAAGTGAGCTGCAGCACTGGCCCTCAATTTCTGTCTTATCGTCGCTTCTGTTTGTGAGCAACATCACATTTATTGATGTGAAGGAGACTTCAGAAGTCTAGCCCATCTATCTGTTCCCTTTTTTCTATCTTTCTTTTTAGTTAGGGCAGAAACCTATGCCACTCATTAGGGTCTCTCATTCCATTTCCTCCCTCAGATAGGGATCGCATGATCTGAAAGAACTACTTCAGTCCTAACATTGCCTCCCAGGTGAAAGAATAAAATCAAAGTTCCTACCACCTAGGAGGACCTGCTAGCACAGTAGCTTTTTCAGAGCAGCTGCATTTCTGGATCAAGTCTAGGTCTCATGCAGGAATCTCTAGAAGGAGTGAGTATGCAGCCTAGCAGATAAGATGCCCATGTCCCACATCCAAGTGCCTGGGTTCAATTCCTGGCTCTGCCTCTTGACTCTAGCTTCCTGCTAATGCAGACCCCAGGAGGCAGCACATGATAGTTCAAGTCGTTGGGTTCCTGCCATCCACATTGGAGACCTGGATTGCTTTTGCAGCTCCCAGGTTTGACCTGACCCAATCTTGGCCATTGGGAGTATATGGAGAATGAACTGAATATGGAACTTCTCTGTCCTTCTTTCTCTCTAAAAAATGAAGAAGAATCACCCAGATGGGGATTTGTATTACCAGGGACACCAAGTAACTCTTTTAGAAATAGAGAAGCAACATCTGCCCCAGTGTTAATAGATAATCCAGACTGACCATTCCTTACAGGGGTATGTGTTTTCTCTTTCTCAGCTTCATCTTGTCCCCTCGTCACACAAACAAGAAAGCTTATTTTTATGGTGGCAGATCTGTTGTGAGAACCTAACCCTTGCGCTATGTACTACTAGATTTACTCCTACTGGTCTTTTCACCTGGGCTCCTGAATAACATGCCTCAAAATAACTGACTTCCTGTCCACACCAACCAGATGCTTCATATATATTTTAACAGAGAAACAGTGGGAGTTTGCTATCACCCTTTCTGGTTCACTCTTTCTCTTAGGACTCATGAAAATTGCTAAACTGCGGGCCAGCAATGCGGTGTAGCAGGTTAAACTGCTGCCTGTGATGCTAGCATCCCATATCAGGGCATTGGTTTGAGTCCCAACTGCTCTGCTTGCAATCTAGCTCCCTGCTAATGTGCCTGGGAAAGCGGCAGAAGAATGGCCCAGGTGCTTGGGCCCCTGCACCCACATGGGAGAACAGATGGAGTTCAGGCTCCTGGCTTCAGCCTGGCTTAGCTGGGGTCATTGCAGACATTTGGGAAGAGAACCAGCAGATGGAAGATATCTCTCTCTGTCTCTCTCTCCTTCTCCTCCACTCCCATCACTCTTCCTTTCAAATAAATAAATTAATTTCAAATAAATAAATAAATCTGAGTGATTCTGAAGAAACTCAAGGAGACAAATGCTTTTTCCTATAGAATAATTCTCTTTTTTTACTTTTCTCTACTTTGAGTTTTTTGTTGTTGTTGTTGTTGTTTTTTCTGTCCACTCTTAAGATTTTCCTGATCATTGGTTCTGAGTACTTTGATTGTGGTATATGTTAGGGCCTGAAGTTTGTTGTTTCTTGGATCTGTGGGTTTATAATTTTTGCCAAATTTGGGAGTGATTTTCAGATTTTTTTCACACACAATGTTCCCTGCTAATTCTGCTATCAGTTCTGACTGATTGATTTTTCTAATTATATGTCATACTTTCCTGCTTCTTTGCATGCCTACTAAGTGTTGGTTTTTGGCAAAGATTGTGTTACCTAGTTCGGTCCTGGATTTTTTTTTTCATTCCTGTAAGTATTCTGGGGCTTTGTTTAACTGAGACACAGCCAGGTCACTTGGGGAAAATTTGATCCTTTCAAGTCTTGCATTTAACATTTTTTAGGCAGAACTACAACAGTGCTCAGTCTAGGTCTGAGGCACAGCAGACTGAAGTTAAATCCTACTGAGTACTGTGCCTAATGCTTGTGGGTGTTGAGCTTTCTGCATCTGGTTGGTAGGCACAGACGTGTTTCCTAGCTAGTGTGAGCACCGGGCATGGCCCACTGTGATCCTTTCAGATGTATTTTTCTTGGCCTCAGCTTCCTTGTGCATGATGGCTAATCACGCCTCTGCTGAGTACGCAGGGGATCCCTCTGCAGGTCTCTGGAGTTGTCTCTGCAGTTCTTTCCTCTCAGAATGCGCTCCCAGGTGCTCTCGCCACGTAGGTTTCCCTGGGCTCTCAGTTCCATTTCCTCATCTCAAGCAGTTTGCCAGGCTCCACCTGGATTCTTCTGTGCTGTGGCCCAAAGCAGTCTGCTGGCGCCATGGGAGGGCTTGCTGCATTTGTTTTCCATCTTTGTTATTTGATCCCCAGTTTTTTGCAAACTATTGTTTCATGAATTTTCTGTTTTTGGTTGTTTTACACAAGAGGGTAAATCTAGTCCTTGGTACTCTATATTAGTCTGACATATAATCTGACATGCAGAATTTTAGTTTCTATTAGGAACTATTTTCAAGAGAATGATATGAGAGCTATTTGAAACATTAAAGACTAAATAATGATATACCCATACAATATAATGTTATGCAGCTGATTTAAAAAACGAAGTATGCTTTTAAATTTTGCCTTAGAAAGCTCTCTAATATATATTGTTTCTGAAAATATTAAATTTATCCTTTTATGTCCTTCAAGGAATATTTATTGAGCTCCTGTTTTATAGCAGCAACTATGTTATGCATTTGGGATCCAGTAATAAGCAAGACCGGCATTGCTGTGCCTTTTAGTAGAGCTCATTGATTTAAATTCTAATGTGTAGATATGGAGGGAATCGAAAATAAACATTATCATGTATAATGATAAGTTCTGTAAAGAAAAAAATACAAAATGATACTGTGAGATGAATGGGAGGGGGACCCTGTTTTATATGTGGTGACGGAGGAAATCTGAAGAAATGACACTTAATCCGAGACATGAAGGATAAGCAGCCAGTCAGCAAAACAGTGTCCCAGCCAGAGGGAGTGGCAAGTACAAAGGCCCTGAGAAAGGAGAAAATATGTTTGAGAAAAGTTTTCAAGGACAGGGGTTGTGTAGAGGGCAGAGAGATTTTCAGGAACCAGATCATAGACAGTGTTGCAGGCGTTGGTCAGAAGTTTGGATTTATTCTAAATTGTAGAAAAGTAAATATTCATTTATCTAATAGTACAAAGTGATGACATAGATAGAGGATATAATATTTCTGGAGTGGTATATATACATGATTAATCATGGTTACACCCTACCAAAGAATAGCAATAGAGGCTGTGAGGGGAGCAGGGGTGAAAGGGCTTTACTGTATACCCTTCACCACTGACTCCTTTACCCTGAATGTGTATTACTCTTCAAATTGAATAAAATAGTAGACTTCTATTTTTAAAGAAGTACATATAAGTTATTTTTAAAATGTTAGGTAGACTATGAACTAGAAGTTCACAAAGAAATATCAATAAAGTTATAAAAAAAAATTTGGCCTCACTAGTAATTACAAATAATGCAGTATAGATTTTCATCTCCCAGATATTGGCTAAGATCAAAAATATTATTAGGATCCAGTTTTGCTGGGAATGTAGGCCAACAGTGTTCTCCTGTACTTCTGATAGGTGCCTATATTGGTCCAGAGTTTTTAGAGGGCAGTTGGACAATGTTTCAAAAACCCTAGGGGTTGGATTGTGGTGTAGGGCATGCCAGCATCCCATACGGGTGCCCATTTGAGTCCTCCACTTCCCACCCAACTCCCTGCTGATGTGCCTGGGAAGGCAGCAGAAGATGGCCCAAGTCCTTGGGCCCCTGCCACCCAGGTGGGAGACCCAGATGAAGCTGCTGGCTCCTGACTTCAGCCTAGCCCAGCCCTGGCCTATGTGACCATTTGGGGAGCGAACCAGTGGATGGAAGATTTCTGTGAGTGTGTCTCTTCTCCTCTCTCTGTAACTCTTTCAAAAAAATAAATAAATCTTAAAAAAAAAAAAACTTCCAAAAGGACTTTGACTTTGGAAATGTATCCTAAGGAAGTGAACAGAAATTTTAAAGTTCTAAGATGCAGATGCAGGGTCATTCATCATTTACAGCATTGTTTATAGTAGGGGATAATTGGGCCCTGTTGATGTCTATCGGAAGAAGATTCATTTTTTAATTAGGATATAGTCCATTGAATACTCTGTAACCATTAAAATTTATTATGTGGTTGTATGTTTATTTATATGTTAAGATATGTACAGAGTATTAGTCAGGAAAACAAATTGGAATAGTATGTTTATGAGGGATTTTGAAAAATTCATAGAAAATGGAATTTAAAGTTGTTTATTTTAATGCACAAAAATTTGAAATCTATATGTAGTGTTTTCATGATATGCATTTTCCATGAATTTTTGAAGATCCCTTATATAATATGATTTTTTTAATAGTTCTACAGCTGTTAAGTGTATTTGTATTACACAGACAATTTCTGGAAGATTTATTTTAAAATGTTAGCAGTAAATTTTGCTGTTAATAGTAAGATCTCTTTATATTTTAATTTTATATAATGAATATATGTTAATTTCCCAATGAGGAAAAACTAATTTATAAAAAAGGGTAATGTGTGGACTAGTAGGTAATCTAGAAATATTTAAATATTTATACATATAATTTAATAGTGATACAATTTAATTTCAGTGTTGGTTTCATCTGTTATAACTTATTATATACTTTTCTGTTTTGTAGGACTAGAAGAAATTGCAAAAGAAAGAGAAAAACTAAAAAAAGCAGAAAGTGTCCAAGTCAAAGAAGAAATGTTTGAGACATCTGGGGACTCTTTAAATTATTCAAATACAGATCACTGTGAACAAAAGGAAGATTTTAAGGAAAAAGATAACACAAATCTGTTTCTTCAGAAACCTGGCTCTTTCTCCAAATTAAGCAAGCTTTTGGAAGTTGCCAAGATGCCTCCTGAGTCAGAGGTCATGAACCCTAAACCAAATGTTAGTGCAAACGGTTGCACATTGTCTTATCAAAGCAGTGGAAAACATTCAACAGGCAGCAGTCAATCAACAGCCACACAAAGCAATGTGGAAAAGACAGACTCTAATAATCTGTTTAATACTGGCTCAAGTGGTCCAGGGAAGTTCTACAGCCCTCTCCCCAACGACCAGTTGTTAAAAACGCTAACTGAAAAGAATAGACAGTGGTTCAGCCTTTTGCCAAGAACACCTTGTGATGACACATCACTTACCCATGCTGATGTACCAACTGCTTCTGTGACTCCTCAGTCTCAGCCACCATCCAAGTCTCCTTCACCTGCCCCAGCCCCTCTTCTTGGATCATCTTCTACTCAGAATCCTGCTGGTCTAAACCCATTTGCTTTGTCACCTCTTCAGGTTGTTACTGATACCTGTAACTCATTTTTATGCTACTTTATTTAATCTTCGAGCTGTGAAGATTTTCATTCAAGGGGGCTCAGTTGAATAGTTAAAATAATCCAGTTTGAAAACCGAAGCAAGTCAGAATTTGTGCACCCAGGCTTCTTTAGAACTACTGATTTCTAGCCTTTATCTAAGTCTGCTGTCACTAGTTTTTGTTTGTTTGTTTGTTTGTTTTTTGACAGGTAGAGTTAGACAGTGAGAGAGAGAGAGAGAAACAGAGAGAAAGGTCTTCCTTCCGTTGGTTCACCCCCAAAATGGCCACTACGGCCGGCGCTGTGTCGATCTGATGGCATGAGCCTGGTGCTTCTCCTGGTCTCCCATGGGGTGCAGGACCCAAGTACTTGGGCCATCCTCCACTGCATTCCCGGGCCACAGCAGAGAGCTGGCCTGGAAGAGGGGCAACCGGGACAGAATCCAGCACCCCAACCGGGACTAGAACTTGGGGTGCCGGTGCCACAGGCGGAGGATTAGCCTAGTAAGCCATGGTGCCAGCCTTCTGTCACTAGTTTTTAACTTATTACTGCTACAGTATATCTAAAAGGGAAACTACTTTGGGAAGCAAATGAAAACATGCAATTTAACGTTGTTAGTGATATATTTAGTTTTCTCTGATTGTGATAAAGGAAATAATATCATTTTGGAATTTAAAAAATAATTTCAGACTCTATATGTTTTTCCTAACTTCTTTGTAAATGTTTTCATTTTGCAGATGAAAAGTGGAGTATCTGTTATGGGACTTCAGTTTTGTGGGTGGCCCACTAGCGTGCTTACTTCCAATATTCCATTTACATCGCCCTTACCTAGTCTGGGATCCGGGCTGGGGTTATCAGAAGGAAATGGTAGTTCATTTTTGACTTCCAACGCTGCTTCAAGTAAAAGTGAATCTCCAGTACCACAGAATGAAAAGATGTCTTCAGTTCAACCTGCAGCTGTTGAAGTAGCAAAACCAGTAGATTTTCCTAGTCCAAAACCTATTCCAGAAGGTAGGTACATGGAGGTGGTTTATAGCCACTTATTCTGTTCCATTATTGTGAACTCTCATAACTGAATCTTCGGTGGTTTTATATACGGTTAACAAATCTTTCAATTTGTATTGTGCCATAATTTCCCGTTAAATATTTATGGGTTAGGCATTTGGCCTAGCCATCCAGATGCTGGTTGAGATGCATGCATGCTCTTCCAGAGCACCCAGCTCTGCTTCTCATTCCAGCTCCCTCCCAATGCACGTCTTGGGAGGCGGAGACGATAGTTCAAGTAGTTGAGTCTCTGTCACCCATGCGGAGACCTGATTTGAGTTCTGGCTCCCTGTTTCAATCCTGCTCAACCCTGCCAATACAGGCATTTGGGGAATAAATAGCAGATGGAGATCACTTTGTGTGTGTCAGTCTCTCTCTCTCTCCTTCCCTCCCTCCCTCCTTCCTACCTTTCCTCTCGCCTTCCCTGCCTTTCTCCCTTCCTGTCTCTTCTGTCCCTCCCCCTCTCAAATTAATAAAGAATTGTTAAAGAATTTAAAAGATCTACATATTTATGTTGACTTAGAGATGCAGTTTGGTTGGTGGAGAATTATTGACCCAGAGGACCTAAAAACTTTGCTCAAAGTGCTGCATCTCAGAGGAATAAGAGAAAAGGCATTACAGAAACAAATTCAGAAGCACTTGGATTATATTACTCAAGCCTGCATCAAAAATAAGGATGGTACGTACCTAGAAGAGATTTCTGCTCTCTTGCCTAGTTAATGAGAATCAATTCTTTTCTCCCTAAACATATTTTAGCATGTCTTATTCTTATTACTAGTGTCTTCTACTTTGTTCAGCAAACAATGACTATTTATGTTTCTTAAATTGATATTATTTTCTTATAATTTTTGTGCCTACCAGATATATAGTTTCTTAGAAAGAGCGTTTCTGTTCTTAAGAATAAGCTGCCAGCATGTGCACATGCACCTGTGTATGGGAAGTCAGATGTACAGGATTCCCCTGGAATTCATTCACTTGATGGAAGAAATCACTGAGGTGAAAAACTTAATGAAAGTGGATTTTAAAATTAATTTCTTTTCAAATATAGTTGCTATTATTGAATTAAATGAAAATGAAGAAAACCAGGTAACTCGGGATATTGTGGAGAACTGGTCGGTAGAAGAACAAGCAATGGAAATGGATCTGAGTATCCTTCAACAGGTAGAAGATCTAGAAAGGAGAGTTGCATCAGCAAGTTTGCAAGTAAAGGTAAAACTGACTTTGAATAAAACCTGTTTTTAGGATAATGGAAGGTAACTAATATTTATTACATCTAAATGTTTTCAGTTTATCTCCAGTAATTCTCAAAATGATCCTGAATTAATTTCTCATCTTACAGGTAAGGAAACAGGCTTACAGTAAGTAACCTACCAATGGTCATATAGTAAGTGGCTGAAGGTGGATTCCAACCAAGTCTGTCAGACTCCAGAGCCATTGTTCTTTTTACCAAATCCTACTGCCTCCTTAATGGCATTCAGAAATTCTTTCTGCTATGCAGTTCTCTACCACAAACAGAATGTCATAGTTTTCTGTGTGATAAATATGTTAGTTAGAACACTCCTACTTTAGTGTTCCATAGAGGACCAGGAGCTACCTTGTACACAGCCATGTTATATGCTAGACTGTTATCCCGTGTGGTTTAAATTGGGAGCACAAAAGGGATGTATCCAAATACATGACTTACTAGGTACACAGACACATGTGCACACACCCTATATATATGAGTCCATGTATGTAGTCTTTATTTATAAGTTTACTAGGCATTGCCATGTCACAGGAAGTAGTCAGAACTGGCTCTCAATGAACAAACAAAAAGACAGCTTTACCTCTGTGTCAGAATTTTTGGTTTTGTTAAGAAGTGTGTAGAAGTCTTCTCAGTTGACAGTAAGGTGATAGCTCGGAGAACAAGCAGATAGTTAATAAGTAAGCACATAATAAACAGGTGCATCCAAAGGTGGAGAAAATTTATTCTCTGTGTCATTTGGTTTGATGTTTCGTGATTTATTTAGAATGAAAAATGTATGGCAGAGTACTCTCCTAGCCAAGAATTAAACTTTTACTTCCTAATTAGTTTAGCATAATCACTTGGACACTTTTAAAGATCTCCAAAAATGCTGTTTTATAGAGCTAATAAGATATTCCTCTCATACCCCAAACACAGTTACTAATTGTGGGGAGCAATCCGGACTAGACTAAGTTACTCGAATTAGGACTTATTCTATGCATCTGCTCTCCCACAATATGGCGCTGGGAGAGAAGTAAACAGCTTCCGCACAGCTGCCTCCAGTTCAACTGATAAACTGTAGGACTTGCTCCTGATTGGAGGAGAGCAGCGTACTCGGCGTGTGGGCAGCCGAGTTAGGATTGGCGGAGGAGGACTATAAAGGAGGAGAGAGACGGCATGCACCGGGAACATCTATGGGGAACATCTAAGGGAACCCGTGCAGCCCCCGAGAGAACCGGCCGGCGGTGTGCCGCTCCCCTGCGGAAGTGGGGAATGCGGCCAGGGGGAACTTCCCTTCCACGGAGGTGGAAGGGATAGTAGCCAACCCGGGAAGAACCAGCAGCAAACCCGGGGAGGGCTGAGCAGACAGAAAGAGCAGCGCAGGGTCCTGTGTCGTTCCTCCACGAAGAGGGGGAGCGACACTAATGTTGGGAAGCAAAAATGTTTCATTTGCTGAAACTATTGTGCTAACAAACTATATGCCTCCTCCTCCTGGTACTGTAATACAATATAAAAATGCCTCATTTCCCTGGCATCTTCAACAAATGAACTCTTCCACAAAGTTAATTTTCTGAAGAAATGAAAATTATTCCATTTAGTGCCATAATTTTTAACATGTATTTTGAATCTCTTATGTTACACATTTCACTGCTTTCTTAAACTGAGAGTAATGGGTATAATTTAAATTATCTTGGTGACACAGGATAATCAGGATGAAGACCAATTATTAGACAGTGATTCCCTTGGGAAACACAAAGAGGTTTATTTTCCCCCATATGTGAATGATTTTAGTGTGCTTTGCTATTTAAACTATTACGTTTGCTTTCTATCATCTGTCCTCTCACATGATCAGTTGTGACTACTTGCTAAGCTAAATATGACTGGTTCTGTTCTCCTCCAACTTTTTCCCACCTAATTTGCCAATTCTAACTGACTGATATGGGAAAGCACATCACCAAGCTATTTAAAATTACGTCTCAAGTTACAGTGTGGTCCAGGAACATTTTCCCAGTAACATTTCCCAGTAACTCTGATTTTGGCACGTTGACCTTATCATATTGCTAGCTGCTTTACATGGTCTTGGCTGTGTTCTTAGTAGCTGAGTGGAATTTGCTTTTTAAGTGAGATGTTTTCATATCCTGTCAATAAAGTATTATTGACAGTATAAGTGCTGTTCTAAAAAAATCAGGTGTAATTATATTAGTCTTGAAGCATCTGAGAGCACAAGTGATGAAAAGGTGATGAAAATGACCACACAAGAGCATTTTAACACTTAGAGAGGGTTGATTGTGTTTCCTAGCTTCAAGACCTGGCCATTGTGAAGGTGCATTAAACAGGTGGCACATGTCTACATGGATGCCTTCACTTCCATTTTTAATATTAAAAAGCTAGAAGTTCTGCTTCTTTTTTTTTAATCATAGGAAGCTGATGTGTCCTAGCCTGATTACTCTTCCAGCTGCTCTAGAGACAGCTCCATCCATGTCTTTTTTTTTTTTTTTTTTTTTTTTTTTTTTTTGACAGGCAGAGTGGACAGTGAGAGAGAGAGACAGAGAGAAAGGTCTTCCTTTTGCCGTTGGTTCACCCTCCAATGGCCGCCACGGCCGGCGCGCTGCGGCCGGCGCACCGCGCTGATCCGATGGCAGGAGCCAGGAGCCAGGTGCTTTTCCTGGTCTCCCATGGGGTGCAGGGCCCAAGCACCTGGGCCATCCTCCGCTGCACTCCCTGGCCACAGCAGAGAGCTGGCCTGGAAGAGGGGCAACCGGGACAGAATCCGGCGCCCCGACCGGGACTAGAACCCGGTGTGCCGGCGCCGCAAGGCAGAGGATTAGCCTAGTGAGCCGTGGCGCCGGCCTCCATCCATGTCTTGTCTGAAGTATTCTCTTTTTCTTTTTTTTTTTTTTTTTTTTTTTTTTTTGACAGGCAGAGTGGACAGTAAGAGAGAGAGACAGAGAGAAAGGTCTTCCTTTGCCATTGGTTCACCCTCCAATGGCCGCCGCGGCCGGCGTACCGCGCTGATCCGATGGCAGGAGCCAGGAGCCAGGTGCTTTTCCTGGTCTCCCATGGGGTGCAGGGCCCAAGCACTTGGGCCATCCTCCACTGCACTCCCTGGCCACAGCAGAGAGCTGGCCTGGAAGAGGGGCAACCAGGACAGAATCTGGTGCCCCGACCAGGACTAGAACCCGGTGTGCCGGCGCCGCAAGGCAGAGGATTAGCCTAGTGAGCCGCGGAGCAGGCCTGAAGTATTCTCTTTTACAATCTAATTAATTCCTTCAGCCATTAGTCCTGTGAGTGGTTCCCAAGCCCATGATTGTTTTCTGGATAAGTACTGGTGTCAAATGTCCTTCTTAATGCTGTGCTCATTGCTGTACGTAGAGTTGTCTGAATGTATGCACAGGACTTTTTGCTTGTTTTAATCTGGCACTTTTTTTTAAAAAAAAAGATTTATCTATTTACTTGAAAGTTAGAGTTACACAGAAAGAGAAGGAAAGGCAGAGAGAGAGAAGTGTCTTCCATCTGCTGGTTCACTCCCCAATTGGCCGCAACAGCCGGAGCTGAGCCCATCTGAAGCCAGGAGCCAGGAACTTCTTCTGGGTCTCCCATGTGGGTGCAGGGGCCCAAGCATTTGGGCCATCTTCCACTGCTTTCCCAGGCCATAGCAAAGAGCTGGATCGGAAGTGGAGCAGCCGGGATTGAACCGGCGCCCATATGGGATGCCAGCACTGCAGGCAGTGCCTTTACCTGCTACACCACAGCGCCGTCCCCTAATCTGGTACTTTTGGTCTGACAGTGTACTCCCATTAACACTACTTGAATTTGTACCAGCTTTTTAGCCTCTGCATCATCCTATTGCTGTACTGAAAATGCACTCACAAAAATCTCTAGGCCTATTTCAAAGTACTTTTAAGTGAATTCTGTCACTTTTGGTATTTCTGTGTTTAGTAGGTTAAACTTCAAAACTGAAATTTGCATTCATCATTGTGTTTTTATTAATTTCATTTCAATATTATTTTCAGCATATGGATATATTTTTATCTTAGTCTTGTCATCCAGAAGATGAATTTTACTTCTTAGTTTTAAGTTACCTATAAATATTTAGCAGTTACCAAAATTATCCATAAATATATCAATGGGACACACCCAACACATAGAGACTTTGGACACTGGCACTGAGGACCCTTTCAACCCTTTCACAGTGATAAGCTCTATTAATTGCCATTTTTACAAAATTTTATCAGAAATTGTATTTTACTTTTATTCTATTACATTTGTAATTTTTAAAATTTTTAATCAGTTTTGAACAGACTCAGTATGGTTTATAGATACAAATCTAAGAATAAAATGGTATTCCCTTCCTCCCTCCCCCTTTCTCACTCTCACCCTCCTTTGTTCTCTTTTTCTGTCTTTTTTTCATTTTTGAGATAACGTGTTTTAACTTTACATTACAATGAAAAGGCTTAATACTTCACCAAAATGTTCCTGAAGTTGTATTTATGAAAAGCATGAAGTTTGTATACCTTAAATATAAGGTTTCTGGGTCGGGGAAAGTCTAACAAGTAAAAAGCAAAAAGACCCTAGTTTAGTGGGAATATGCTATAGACAGTATTTGAACAGAAAAAATGACCATTTCACCCATATACAATAAATGTTAAAGTAATCACAGACCATTAAAACTATAATAGCATAACATTCTTAACCATTGGTTTGACAAAGGTTTGAAATAGTTTCACAAGCTATATTTGCAGCAATACGGATACAAACAGGCATTTCTTTCCTTTTTTTTAATTTTAGCTCCCACATTTAAGGGAGAACATGTGATATTTGTCTTTCTGGTTCCAGCTTATTTCACTCAACATGATGTCCTCCAGTTGCATCCATTTTGCTGCAGGTGGTAGAATTTCATTACTTTTTATAGCTAAATAATATTCCATTTTCTTTATCCATTCATCTGATGATTGACACCTTTGTGGTTCTACATTTTGGCTGT